CGCGACCTGGGAGCACACCATTGCATGCATAATTCGAAACTGGCCGAGAACTAAGCGCAATGTCCAAAACGATTTCCCAATTGGGTCAACGATGCAGTTCGAAATTTCAGTTAGCTGACCCCTTCCCTTCACCATCTCCTACCCTCTCATTGAACCCCTGTAATAGCTGTCGTTTGTGGCCATTGTCCTAAGCATTTTGCATGTCATTTCGGTTAATTAAATTATTTACGTCATTCACTTTTGGGTTTAGTCGAACGAGCACGAAAATTATTTTAATTAGCAATTTCTGTCGAAGCGATTTTAAACCATTTTTCCTAATAAATTACTGCACTGAGGTAATTTAGTCATAACAATTTTGGTCAAAAATATAAATATAAATATATGACTACTTAAAGATGATGTCCCAGAACAAAAAATATATTTTATAATTACGAAAATGTATATTTTTCATTTATAACTTTTTAAGAGATTGCTAAATAAGTTTCATGTTTAAAATTGGAGTAAGATGCAAATATTTTTAAGCAAAAATAAATATATTAAATGAGACAAAACATTTATTAAGCAACTTTTGTCTTTGCTTACTTAAGCTTATTAATATTCACAAAAATTAAATATTCAAATGCTTTTTGTTTATTGCAGCAACAAAGACCAGAAAACTGCGAGGATAAACCATTTAAATCAATTGCTGTCCCTCTTTTTTCTATAGATTTACCGCTGCCCAATTGGAGGCCTTTCTGTTTGGGGCTTTATCGCCGCTTGCATAATGCAGCAATTCCAATTAGTTTTGCCAACTAAATTTCAATTACATTTCACACACTCGCACATGAGTAGTTTGAAATGCCATGGCAATGAAGTTGGCCAAAAGATGATTACGGCCCACAAAGTGTTGCATAGTTTGCCGCGCACGATTTTGGCACAACATAAAAATTAAATGCGAATGGCTAAAAATATAGAAATAAATTTGTTGGGAAAATGCAGAGATACTCACCCGTGTATATGTATACATTTGAGGTTTTTCGATGGGGTCTAAAAGCCCAAAAGCATATCATTTGTTGCTCATTTAAATACCGTAATTAAGTGATATCATGCTATCTAATATGAGTTCCCATTCCGCTTTAAGTGGCGTGTTCGTCGGCAATGGTGGAAAAGCGCTGGAGCTTTGGAAGCGCAAACAGTTGCTTATTTTGAAATTTTATTTAGAGCTAATTGTTTCCTGGGCCAGGTCAGCGGTGGTCAGGAAAGCAGGGTCAGTACGTGAATAAGCCAGTTGGCAAGCAACCCCCACGGAACCCAAACACACACACACACACACACACACGTACACACACATGCCGGCCTATATGCATACGCACCTCGGCAAAGCCTGGCCGAAAGCCAAAGGACGAAAGGACGCCCTCGATTGTTTGTTTATTTGCCTGTTTGCCATTGCCCGTTCACACCGCAGCGAATCGAACGGAATCGAAGGAGGATTGGGGCGGTCGGATTTAATATTTTCCAGCCCCTTTCGATATATATTTAACTTCCGTGCCACGAGGGCAACTTTGGAGTGTTTAAAGGAGGCTAAAGAATATTTATTATAAAGTCTAAAGGGAATTATAAAAAGAGCCTTTGTTCATTAATATATATAATTAAATTATAAAAATATATATAGAGATTTATTTATTGATCACTGTAGATATATATATAAACAAAAATAGTAAACCAATATTTCCTAAGTATGTTTGCATGCAAATAAGAAATATAATTCTCCGATTTGGAAAGATTTGAAAAATGTTAACAAACAAGAACAAATTTATTAACAAAAAGTTTTAAGACTACGTTACTACTTTTTACATGTTAGTCATAAACATTATTTAAATGTTGTTTAACAAAAGAAATATTTTAAACCATTTGAACCATATTTTACTTACATTTTATTATTAGGCGGTTAAGTTTTGTAGACACATCTGCTTTTGTTTATCAAAATTAACCCTGTTAATTATCTGTTTTTGATAGTAACAATTATATCATACGGTTTCCTGTCATACACATCCCTTTTCGTGTTTTCAGTCGAGGATTAGGCACTGACAGATCCACATGGGGTCCGGTAGTAAACCTTATTTACCGTGACCGCCCGCTGTGAGCAAAAAGTCAGCGGTTGCCACTGGACAACCCTTAACCCCTTAATAGGTCTTAGCACATGCTTCCCCCATTCAGACCCCCTTGCCCCATTTCACCCACACAATTGCGTTGCTAACCGCAAAAATACACAGAAAGTAATGATTAAGTAATTTCTTGAGAGTTTTAATAGCAATTTCATAGTAAATATATGACCAAAAACATTGTAATTAATATAATATATAATAACTTATACAAAACTAGAGAAATTTATTAAAGCGTTATCATTTTTATTTTTACTTTTTAATATTAGTTTATCTAAATAATATTTTTAGATTACATTACATGTAAGATATTTATAAAGCGAAAATTGGAAATTTAAAAAGAATGTACCTAAAAAAAATGGATTTATTATTTTTGTTCTTGATTTGATTTATTTACATCCAAGAACTACAGGATTAACTTTTGTTAAAAGCACTAGTCACATTATTATTATTCTTCAGTTAATTAGATATTTTATTTTTTAAACATTTTTTTCTTGGTGCAGGTGGACAGCAGTAGAAAGAGATGGCGAGCGGAAGGCGAAAGAGATGGGGTGCGATGCAGCTGCAGCTAATGAAACACATCTCTTCGCTGGGTGGACCGCAGCAAGACGTGTTTAAATTTAGTTTTCGTTAATTTTCGTTTGTTGTCTTTTGTTGTCCAGCGGTTGCCTTGCCCTTCTCTCCCCCCACCCCCCGCATGACCCCCTTTTGCTGTTGCCGTTTTTGTTGGTATCAGCAGCCGTTTGCTGATAAGAGCGTTGCGGTCGTCAATTTGTAACGAAACATATGTTTGCCCCAAGTGACAGGCGGCACTCACGCTGCGTTCTTCTTGTCCGCTGATAAGGGAAAAACATGGAAGAGCGATCTGATGAGGGGGAGGTGGTCGCAGGAGGGAAGGGGGAGGGGCCAGGGCAGCGGCACTGACTCAGGGTGCGGTCAATGTCCGTTGGGTGCCAAGCGCTCCATATAATTACGGGGTTCACCCTTTAACGAAGCTGCGGAGAGTTTTATTTTAAACAGAAATTTATAAAATTTGGTTTTTCTGATTAGTAAAATTTTTAATTACTAGGTTCATTAAAAAGAGAAAAGCTTTCTTAGGTAAAATGTTAATCAATTTTATACTTAACCCAGTTAAATTTTTAGATTTATTTGTTAAAAGCGGAAACGTTTTTAGGTTGACTTTATGTTAAACTTTAATAAACTAACCTCAAAAATGACAGGCAATAAATACTTTAAAAGTCTTTTTAGAGGCGTTTTTCCGATTTCTATCTAAAAAATTTTACACCCTCCAGATTAAAATATTTTTGTATGTTTACTTTAGTACTTTAAAAACACATGAACTATGCAGTACATTTTTTTAAATTTCTGATATAGAAATTTGGCTGTATGACTAGGAATTTTGGAGGAAACACCTGTCTCATTTGTACTATTTCGAACTTAAATCTAAGTTGTATATACTTATTTATTAAACAAACTATTAATTTTAATACCTCTTATTTGAAAATGAAAAAATATCTGAAAAACCAAAAAGGGTATTTGGGGTTCCGAACCTTCTTTCCGCTAAAGTAGTTCCTTCAATCCGATTCGTTACACCCGGGAACAGTTGTCTTTACTTTAGTTTACTTTTGTTGGGCAGGGTCACTTCAGCGAGTTGTCATACAGATAAATATGTTTATTTGCCCGGACTTACATTCCATAGGGCATCTGTATTGGTGGGTATCTGTGAGAGTTCGGAGCTGAACACATATTTACCTTATTACTCCGCTTAATGCCAATACACGCCGTCCGCATATCTATTTCCACATATATTTATCCTCCGCTGGTTCTTTTTCTTCATGTTTACGTTTTGCATTAACTCACATATCACATTTAATTTTTTCATTTCTCGTTTTCTTTTCCTTCTCTCTGTAGTGTTTTTTTTTAGTTTTTGCCTGCCACTTTTGCGGTTAATTAAACCTTGCGGTCGCTTATTTTATGTAAATAAATGATAAAATCCGAACGCACATTTATGTTTATACCTACAGATGTGGAAAAAAGTGCAGTTCGTGACCAGCTGCATGCGAATGAAATTTGTGTGTGGTTCAATTTGTTAGTTAATTTGTATTTGCTTATTGATTACGGACTAAGCAAACTCTGAAAATGATGGATTGTTCAATTTCCAAATATTTAAAGAGGTTAAAAATCATATTGATTTTTTTTAGGGAGAAATCCAGCAGGAGAAAACTAAATTCCATTTTAAATTTTAAATTTCAGCGCCACATTTTATCTAGTTTAAGACATAGATGGTGGCATCCCATTTATAGGAAAAAAGCTTTGACATACAGATGGCGCTACTTGTATTGTAATTTAATTTAAATGACAGATTCAAATTTAAAAATGATTCTTACAAATTATTGTAAGAATAATAGTTTGATATTTAAATAGCGAAATAAAAGTGAAATAAAGTTTCTCTAAATACGTAACCTTCCTTTGTCATTTACAAAAGAAAATCTTGATAAGAATGAAAGTTTATTTTTAGGTATGCATTAGTATAATCTTTATGTGATGCTTATCTCTCCCAATAAAAGTATTACAAAATCTTATGAAATGTAGAGTATTTTCAAATTACTCCTTTAATTTATTTTATTTAAGGGCTAAAAACCTTTTCAATTTAAATGACCTTAACAAGTTTTACTACAAGTAAAAGTTAAGCCATAAAACCAAATATAACAGATTTTCTCTTCCTTATTTACATTAACTAGCCAGATTATCTCTGAGATAAGCTACGTCATCCAGGTGAGAAAAACTTTGTGAATTTTATCACTCGGTGGGAGGCTTTTAAGTAGGGACCAGAACAAGTTGAAAAGCAAAACGACACGGACGCGATTATCTAAAATTTTTTGAGTGTCCAGTGGAAAATTTTAGATTCTTAGTCAAGTCAAAATTAAATAACACAAATACACCAAATCTTTAAACAGAGTGAATTCAACTCAAAATACAATTTCTAATTTGAATGATATACAAAAAATAAAACATGCAGGCTAATAAACTGCCAACAAATCCACGCGAATCTGCGGGTATTTTTTCGGCGCTAATGTTTTGGTATGTTTTTATTAAAAAACAAAAACAATAAATAAATTTAAAAAAAGTTCATGTAACATCATTCACCAAAATTAAGACAAATTTAGATAAGGGAAGCTGAAATAACACGTCAATTACTTCTTGTTATCATGTTTGTATAAACTTTAATTGCAGTGGGGTGAGGAAACTCGGAGCTATGCCAACATCTATCATTATATTTATTAATATACATTATTTTCCACAGCTTCGCGTTGCCCATACTTTTTAAGGGCAGAAAAAAGACCTTGGAACCTGGTGATCTTTACAAGGCTTTGAGGGGCCATAAAGCGGATACACTTGGCGATAAATTCTTTGAGACTTGGTTAGCAGAAGTCAAATCTTGCCAGGATAAACCAAAAAAGGAACCAAGCATTATCAAGGTTATAATTAAAGTATTTGGATGGCAACTGTTTTTATCAGGCTTAATTATTGGAGTTCTGGAAATCGGAACAAAGTGAGTAGAGGTTTTATATTTTGTTTAAAATCTATTTTAAAATGCAATATAAATTGAAAAACCTAGTAGTTTATTAAATTTACATTTATTATTTAAAATGTATGACTTATTATTTAAATTCCATCTTACAGAGCTACAGTACCACTTATTCTGGGTGCTCTCATATCCGAATTCACAAAAAATGGAAATGGAGATGGGCAGCAGGCGCAAATCTATGGATTAAGCCTGATTTTGATTACGTTCTTAGGAGTTTATCTATTTCATCCCTTCATGATGGGTATGATGGTGAGTTTATAAAATTAGTGATTAATATTTAAATAATAAAATAATAATAATCCACAGCATCTGGCCATGAAAATGAGGGTGGCAGTGAGCACTGCCATATATCGAAAGGCCCTCCGATTGAGTCGCACAGCATTGGGAGATACGACCACGGGTCAGGTGGTTAATCTACTATCCAACGATCTGGGTCGCTTTGATCGTGCCTTGATTCACTTCCACTTTTTGTGGCTGGGACCACTGGAATTGCTTATATCGTCGTATTTTCTGTACCAACTGATTGGCATTGCTTCCTTTTATGGAATAGCGATACTACTTCTATATCTACCCATTCAAACCTATATGAGCCGACTTACTTCGAAGTTGAGACTTGAAACCGCATTAAGAACCGATGAGAGGGTGCGTATGATGAATGAGATTATATCTGGCATACAGGTGATTAAAATGTACACCTGGGAGAAGCCATTTGGAAGGCTAATCGAGAAACTGCGACGCAGTGAAATGAGCTCCATCCGCAAAGTGAACTACATCCGAGGTACTCTTCTATCCTTTGAGATTACTCTGAGCAGGATTGCGATATTCGTGAGCCTGCTGGGATTCGTCCTGATGGGCGGAGAATTGACTGCAGAAAGGGCTTTCTCAGTCACCGCTTTCTACAATATCCTGCGACGCACAGTGAGTAAATTCTTCCCAAGTGGAATGTCGCAATTCGCGGAACTGCTGGTTACTCTGAGGAGAATCAAAAGTTTTTTGATGAGAGATGAAACTGGAGCTCAGCAACTGGGATATGGAGAAAAAATGACCCTTTTTAAAGAGGAACCCCTGGTGGAATTGCAATCCTTTCAAGCACGTTGGAATCAGACTCACGTTGAGCCTGTTTTGGATAACATAAATATCTGTCTAAAGCCACCGCAATTGGTGGCTGTTATTGGACCCGTGGGCTCCGGTAAATCCAGTCTTATACAAGCTATATTAGGAGAACTTCCTGGCGAATCTGGAAAGCTAAAGGTCCAGGGAAAAGTATCGTATGCCTCCCAAGAACCCTGGCTTTTCAATGCCTCCGTTAGAGATAATATCCTCTTTGGCTTACCCATGGATAAGCACCGATATCGTACTGTCGTTAAAAAGTGTGCTTTGGAGAGAGATTTCGAACTGTTCCAGGGAGATCGCACTTTTGTGGGTGAAAGAGGAGCCTCCTTGTCTGGAGGTCAAAGAGCCAGGATCAGTTTAGCCAGAGCTGTTTATCGCCAAGCGGATACCTATCTCCTCGATGATCCTTTGAGTGCTGTGGATACCCACGTGGGGCGCCATTTATTCGAGGAATGCATGCGTGGCTTCCTCAGGAATAAATTAGTGATCCTGGTGACCCACCAACTGCAATTTCTGGAGCATGCCGATCTAATTGTTATCATGGATAAGGGAAAGATAACAGCTATTGGCACCTATGAGGAGATGCTCAAAAGTGGCCAGGATTTCGCCAAACTTTTGGCCAAGGAGACCCAGGAAGATTCTAATCACGGTCAGGATAATGCGCCTGGTGATGCCAAAACGGATAAATCGAATTACTCCCGTCAAAGCAGTCGATTAAGTAGGTCTAGTGTAACATCCGTGGATTCCGGTACGGAATCTGTAATGGAAGAAGATAGGCAACCTGTTCAGGAAGCGCGATCTGCAGGAAAAATTGGATTAGACATGTATCGGAAATATTTCTCCGCCGGTTCTGGATGGTTTTTGGTCGCCCTGGTTGCATTTTTCTGCCTGGGCACTCAAGTTCTAGCTTCCGGAGGGGACTATTTCCTGTCCTACTGGTAAGTAGTTCTATTTTTGGTTTTAATAATTCATAAGACTTAAAAACTTTCATTAATAGGGTAAGAAACAACGACGCCTCTTCATATCTGGATATATACATCTTTAGTGGAATCAATATAGCACTAGTGATCTTCGCACTGCTTCGAACCTTACTCTTCTTTAGTATGGCAATGCACTCATCCACCCAGTTACATAACACCATGTTCCAAGGGGTTTCCCGCACTGCTTTGTATTTCTTCCATGCGAACCCCTCTGGAAGGATCCTTAATCGATTCGCCATGGATCTGGGACAAGTGGATGAAATCCTGCCCGCCGTAATGCTGGATTGCATACAGATATTCCTGACAATCAGTGGAGTTATAGGCGTTCTGTGCATCACAAATCCCTGGTATTTGATTAATACAATGATCATGTTGCTGGCTTTCCATTATCTTCGAAAATTCTATCTGAGTACTTCGAGGGACGTGAAAAGATTGGAGGCCGTGGCCAGATCCCCAATGTATTCGCATTTTAGTGCCACTTTAAATGGACTACCCACGATTAGGGCTTTGGGTGCTCAGGAATTAGTGACCAAGGAGTACGATAACTATCAGGATCTCCACAGTTCGGGATACTATACATTCCTCTCGACAAACCGTGCTTTTGGTTACTATCTGGATATGTTTTGCGTGGCCTACGTTATATCGGTAGCCCTAATGAGCTACTTTAGTCCCCCGCTGGACAATCCCGGTCAGATCGGCTTGGCCATCACACAAGCTATCTCCATGACTGGCACTGTACAGTGGGGCATGCGACAATCGGCGGAGTTGGAGAATTCCATGACTTCTGTGGAAAGGGTGCTGGAATACAAGAACCTGGAATCAGAAGGTGAATTCGAATCCCCAGCAGATAAGAAACCACCCAAAAGTTGGCCGCAAGATGGTCGGATTAAAGCGGAAGATCTTAGTCTGCGCTACAATCCCGATCCCAAAACGGATAATGTTCTAAATTCACTGAACTTCGTTATCCAGCCACGTGAAAAAATTGGCATTGTAGGAAGAACGGGTGCGGGTAAATCCTCGCTTATAAATGCCCTATTTAGACTGTCCTACAACGATGGATCGATGGTGATAGATAGCAGGGATATAGCCGGAATGGGCCTGCACGATCTGCGCAGTAAGATCTCCATAATTCCCCAGGAACCTGTACTATTTTCTGGCACCATGCGCTATAATCTGGATCCCTTCGAACAATATCCAGATGATAAGTTGTGGGAGGCCCTGGAAGAGGTGAGATATTGTTGAATTAATGTATTATAACCATAAGTTAATCATCTTCTCCCATTAGGTTCATCTCAAAGAAGAGGTGTCGGAGTTGCCAAAGGGTCTGGAAAGTATGATCGCTGAAGGAGGTGCCAACTACAGTGTGGGTCAACGGCAGTTGGTCTGTTTGGCCAGGGCGATTCTCAGGGAGAATCGCATCCTGGTGATGGACGAGGCCACGGCAAATGTGGATCCTCAAACGGACGCCCTTATACAGTCCACCATCCGTAAAAAGTTCAGGGACTGCACCGTGCTGACCATAGCCCATAGGTTAAATACGATAATAGATTCGGATAAGGTCATGGTTTTGGATGCCGGCAATCTTGTAGAATTCGGTTCACCCTATGAACTTCTGACGCAATCGTTGAGGAAAATCTTTTACGGAATGGTTTTGGAGACGGGTCGTTCCAGTTTTGAGCACCTTCTGAAGATGGCATATCAAGTGAGTACAACTACTACACAATTATGTATTTTTTCGCTAATGTAACATTTTTTACAGGCCCAACAGAGTAAATTGAACATGAAAGCGGAATAAAAATAAACATGATTGTCAAGGAATCAATAAATCTTAAATGTTTTGGACAAAAAAAATATTTTTTAATTTTAAAAATAAATACAATGATGATACAAACATAAAATAATGAATACGTGCACTGCCATAATAGTGTTTGTTTTGGTTCGTGCTATGTCATAAGTTGGACTTAAACACTCTTGTTTTATATTAACACGCGAACTAATAAGTATCTATGTACGTTAACACAGCCAGCATGAAGATTTATTGAAAATAAAGTCATGTAAATATATAGATACTTAATTCAACCATATGAAAGGGACACCAATGGCTTGCATCAACACCTGTAAATTTTTTTAAATCGGTTTTTAACAGAAATGTAATCAAAAGATACAATGCATTTAAAAAATAATTTTTGGGAGACTGTGTTTTAAATACAAAATAAAATTACCAACATTAAAAATATTGTTTAGATTACTACTTAGTTATTTTAAGAACAGTATAATGTTTAAATAACTAAATATAAAATTGTATGTTACTGTATTGATTATTCCAAATTTTTAAATTTACCCGCCAAAGTATGTAAGTAAGACCGTTTTTTGCCTATCGAAATCGATAGGTTCAAAAAGTAAACAAACATATGAAAACAAGAAGCGCACAATTTATATTAAATATGGCAAAAAATGTGAAGAAACTAACGTTGGCCAACAAATTAGCAAAAAGAGGAGATGTCATTAAACCTACAGAGATAATTAGCAGACAAAATCGGGCGGATAATGTTCGGGTAAGTGGTAAATCAAGATAGGATTACAGCAAAAGTTAAGACGCAGTTTCTGAATGTTTCAGGATATTGAGGACCTTGTGGGTGTATCACCCGCTGAACCAGGATCTAGTAACTCAATATTCTTCTCCCCCATTCAAACTCGGAAACAGCGTCACTTAAATGGTGAACTCCTGAAAAAAACGAACATTAAAATGGAACCCCTGTCCCCAACTCGAGTTCCAACCAAAAAAACTAGAAAGGAAGATCAGTTGGTAACCAAAATTCAAGTGGGATCGGCAACGGTGGTTAAATGTAAACTGGTTCACGATCCTGTTGATTCTCCTATAAGAATTGATAAGATCAAAAAAGAATTGGAGCCACAAATAAAGCAGGAACCTTTTATACATGAGAGTCTAGCTGGTCTTAACAATATTAAAAAAGAACTGGATCAACAAGTAGAAGCATCTTTGTACCCAGAAGTAGAATCACCGCATCATTTATGGTATAATCACCTGGAAAACATACGCATCATGAGAAACTCAAAGTCTGCTCCCGTGGACACAATGGGATGTCATCGATGTGCAGATTCCAAAGCAGATGCAAAGGTGAAGAGTTCAATTAGTACATGTTGTTCAAAAACTTATAGATCCCTTTTTTACAGACCCAACGCTTCCAGAACTTAGTAGCCCTTATGCTGTCCAGCCAAACTAAGGATCAAACCACCTATGAGGCCATGAATCGTCTTAAAGAGCAAACTCTTACTCCACTGAAATTAAAGGAAATGCCAATAACGGATTTGGAGAACTTACTTCATCCTGTGTCCTTTTATAAGGTTAGAATAAATTTAACTTAAGACCATCAAATACTTTTATTCTACCTCCAATTCATTGCAGAACAAAGCCAAATACCTCAAGCAAACTGTGGATATACTTATGGAAAAATATGATTCGGATATTCCGGATAATCCCAAGGAACTTATAGCTCTTCCCGGAGTTGGTCCCAAGATGGCTCACATATGTATGGCAGTGGCGTGGAATAAAGTCACAGGAATTGGAGTGGATGTCCATGTACATCGCCTTTCGAATAGATTGGGTTGGATTCCGAAACCCACAAAGGAACCCGAACAAACCCGAATCGCATTGGAGAAGTGGTTGCCATATAGTCTCTGGTCAGAGGTTAATCACCTATTTGTGGGATTCGGACAAACCATTTGTACCCCAGTGAAACCAAAATGTGGAGAATGCTTAAACAAGGATATTTGTCCTTCAGCTTATGCCGAATCAAAACCAAAAAGAAAGAGTGACCGGTAGAAAGGAATATTACTCGAATTAACTCCTAAAAAATCAAAACTTTATAAAATTTCAAGTATTATCCGAACAAAGAAAGATACTGTCACAAAAAGGCTAGAAGTCCAAAGAATCACTGCATTCAGAAAAGCCTAATTATTTTTCCTTAGTTAATAAGATTTAAGAGAATAAAAATTCTGTTTTCCAAAACAAAAATTTGTTTAATTTTGTTAGTAGTTTAATAATTAAAAATAATTAAGCTAAATTTGTAAATATTTTTTATATTTGAACGGATTTTTGTTTATTAGTAATAATCAAACTGTTGGTATTTTTCCTCTTTCGATTTACAGCCACATTAACTAAAAAATATTGGCGCGTTTTGTTGTTTATAGACAGCTTCTTGTGAAATTGTTTTTAAGTACATAATTCCAAGCCCAAGAAAACTATCAAAATGAATGATTCATGTAAGTAAAATTTCTATTTTAACCAAAATAAAAGAAACAATGACTCAAACTCATTTTTAGTTGGAGATTTCAATGCCACACAAACTGCGACCGCTGGAGCCGCCAGCAATCAAAAGGGAGAGGTGGGTGAAGAACATAACTGTAATGCGCAAATTATATATAATTTTGTGTATTTGAAAACAGGGAATTGTGCCATTGGTCATTAAGCAGATTGTGGATGCGCCAGAGGGAAACATCGAGTTGTTTGGCATGCAATATGCAATGGCCTGTGTGGTGGCCATAGTGCGAAATATCGAGACTTCCTCGACCAAGATTACTTACACCCTGGAGGATCACAGTGGCCGGATGGATGCCCATTATTGGCTGGAGGAGGGCGATGCTCTGAAGGCCCCCGAAGTCATGCTCAATAACTATGTGAAAGTGTATGGAACCACGCGATCGCAGGGAGGTCAGAAAACCCTGATGGTGTTCAAACTGCTGCCCGTTTTGGATCCCAACGAGGTGTGCACACATCTCCTAGAAGCTCTCAATGCCCGCTATAGGGCAGAGGATTACCAGAACAAGGGAGGATCTTCGGGAGTGGCTCCTTCTGGCACCGGCTCCATATCCGATTTCACCGCCTCTCAGAGCTCGGCCATCGTCAGTGGGCTGGATCCCAAGCAGCAGGCAGTCTTCCAGGCCATCAAGAGCAATGTTTCCGAGGAGGGCATCTCTCGCAAGGAACTAAAGGCCAAGTTCTCCCACATCAGCGACTCGGAGTTGACGTAAGCCTATTTGCAGACATTTTTCTAATTTTTTTTTTCATGTCCAAATCAGTAGTTCATTTATTTGTATAGAGTTTAAAACTTATAGGAATTTAATATGCCCAACCTTTTTGTGCGAATTTTCTACAACCATTTATTTAGAATTTAAGCTCCAATTTGTCATTCTTCTGAGTAACCCTATATCTTTTGGTTTCTTTTAGCAATATTGTGGACTTCATGATTTCCGAGGGTCATATATACTCCAGCATTGATGCCGATCACTTTATTTGCACTATGTAAATCGAATCTGAATTATAAACATGTAATTATGCGTATTAAATATATTAAGGCTATATAAAGCAGAAAATATATTTTCCCTAATGGGAGATCGAAATTAAGGAGCACAGCGAGTTGACCGCATCAAATGTAAGCCAGAGTTAATCATAATATTTAAATTTTTCTGCAAACTTGAATATAATACTTGGGTTTTTGTGAGCATAGTCTGCATAGTCGCGTTTTTAATTCGCCTGCTCAATCCTATTTCAAGAACTGCAATATTTATAGTAAGCTTAAAGAAAGTTGTAAATATTTATTTGCGCTATTAAGTGGTTTAAAAGGGCAAATCAAAGACAGACATACGACCTTTAATATTTCCAAAAGGTTTCTAAAATTTGTGAACTATTCGCAAATATAGGATTAAACAAAAGAATTACAAACAAACCAAATATAATTTTCAACTGAAATAACATCCAAAGGTAAGCTTTATATTTAACCTTACCGTACATTAACACTGAACAAAATGTAAAGTGGCGCCCTCTAGCTTGTTCTATCAGATGTTTATTTTCTCCACAGTTCTCAGCTGCTTATTTTCACCCTGCTCGTCAATGCTCAGCTGTTTAAACTCACCACAAACCAGAGATAATGACCGGCATACCAAATCTTATATATGTAGTTTCTCTCGATTCTCGGCTCGCCTCAGTCAATTCAATTTACATCCCGGATTAAAATCCATCGCCACCCGGCTTAACAACAGTGTTATCAATGAATTAATTTAAGTACCTCAGCCAACTTAAGATTAAGTCCAAAATCGAACAAACGCAACTAAAAACATGGAGAACAAACATAAAAACTGGGTGCTATGCCTGGCTCTCATTTTCGGATGTTTTGGTAAGCAATAATTTAATGTTTAATGGGGGGAAGTAGGTTTTGGCGGACGCAAAGAACGTAGAAAGTTAAAAAACAGTTAGCTAAAGTTGAATGAACTATTTGTTATTGCGTTCCCCACACAATCGCGTGATAAACAACAACATTGACATTGCCGCTCCCCCACTCACGCACACAAACAAAAAACTGAAGAGAACTTTTAACTGACACACTTTCCAATTGGGGCAGCTTATTTTGGACAGTGGAATATAAGATAATAGAGGTGTTTCAGTTTTGAAGGTCAACAAAATTATCACCTACAGTTGTATATGAAGTAATTTGTACAATAAAATTAATTTTGTAAAACAGAAATCCGAAATTAGGTTTCAAATTTAAACACGTTTTTAGAAGAGAAGAAATATTTTAATTTTTAGATCCGAAAAAATATTTTAAATTTCAAGTGATTCAATTTATTTTCCACCTATAATTTTATTAAATATGTCCACTTTGGGTTTATGATTAAAGATACAAAGTTAAGTAATATCTTGTTTAGCTACATTGAATGTTAATAAGAATATATACAAAAATGTGTTGTATTTTAAAACAACAAAATAACCAAAAACCACTATCAAAAACGACCTTTGCTATCTATCACCCCATCCTTCCTTCAGACTATCTCTTTCTCGTGCACATTTTATTCCACTATAGGAGATAACGCCACCCACTGTGCAGGGCCACTTGTTGATAACCTCGACCCAGGCTAAGTAACTGAAAAAATATCAGCGTGTGGCTCTGCTTCAGAGTGAAAGTTATAACAATTCGATTGACTAATGACGTGTTCCATTCTTTCTTCTCGCCCACATTTCTTTAGACCGTGGAAGAGCGGCTTTAATCTCTCAAAGCAGCCAGAAATTATTCAAGCTGCAGAATACAGTGATTCTTGAGGAACTGGGAAGAGATTCAAGTGCCAAAGAGACGAGCTATAAATTTGAAACTAATCTAAAGATCAATTCGGTTTGGAGTCAGGATGAAGATCAGTTACTGGAGGTGTTCATCAGCGGGAGCCAAGTTGCTGCCTCTGGAAAAGCCCGATCCATAACCCAGATACCCGATAGGCCTTTTTACATCAGTCTGGTTAAGGGACAGCCTGAAAAGGTCATAGCCCATACTTCAAAAGATCAATCCCTACTAAATTTGGAACGAGGAATCGCTTCCCTCCTGCAGTTGAGATTGGATGCCTCCCAGGAGGAGGAACTGGATGTTACTGGTCTTTGTCGAGTATCCTATAATGTCAAATCCTCAACGAAGGTGGAGAAAATCAAAAGAGACTGCTCTCTGTGGGATCTCAGGGTTTACTCTCACCCAGAAGAAGCTCTAAGTGTTACTCAGGAAGCCCAGGAGAAGGTATCCTATGAACTCTCTTCCGATGGATCTCTTTTGAAGGCAGAGTCCGTCGAAAGCCACCGCCTGAGCCTACTAGCAAAACCGGATGTGGGAAGCTCTGTCAAGAGTACTTTAATCCTGCAACACATTTCTCTAGGATCGGAGGAAGTCAAGCAGCTAGAAGTGGACAGTTTAGAGGATGCCATCCAGAGCCTTCTGGAATGGTATCGCGTATTCGAGCTGGAATCCGATGTAGATGGGATGATCAGCGAGATCAAAGAGCAAACTGTAAGTTAGAGATTAAAGGGTTATGAATTTTTAAATTTTGACTCTTTTTTTTTTTAGATTGAGGAACAATTGAAAGCGTCTTTGGATGAACTGCAATCCGAGGATGTGGGCAAATCCTCGCTGGCTCTGGCTTACGTAAAACTAATCCCACTGGCTCGCATCTCGAGACAAGAACAATTCGAGGAACTGCTCAAGGACCATTCGAAAATACTCTCCCAATTGGTGGATCTTTTGGGCGCTGTTCAAACCTTCGATGCACATAATGCCACTTTTGGATTCCTCTACAAAGAGGCAGAAACCACAAACGAGCATTTAGAATTGTTGGAGAAGTATCTGCAATCCCTGGCGGTGGCCACTCATCCGGATAGGAAAATAATCGAGCACTTGTACGGATTACTAGAGCTAGAATCTATCAAAAAGCAGTTAAAGCTTAGAGAGAGCATTATCCAAACACTGGCCACCTTGACCCGCCAAAGCCGATTGGGTGTCGATGATCCTTTGCTGCAGCAGGTGCGAACTTATCTCCTGCAAGGTCTTGCCTCCAAGGAGCCCACTTTGTATATCAGGGCACTGCAAAATCTCCAGAATCCCGTCACCATTGTATCGCTGCTGGAACAGGCTCAAAGTGGCGAGGAGCCCAATTTATCTGTGGCCGCTTTGCAGGCCTTGAAGGCATTCCCCCCAGGCAGCTTTACTTCCTCGCATCGCCAGCAGTTTGAGAGTATCTTCTACCAGCGAAAGCGTCGCTTTGATAGCTCTGCTCGCACACTGGCTCTGGATATCATCCTTTCCCTCAGGCCAAGTCAGGAGCAATTGGGATACCTCTTGGATTACCTGGCCTCCACGGATCGCCAGTTTGAGATCAAAACCCATGTGCTGCAGAAGCTGAGAATGCTGGCTGAAAAATGTCCGCGATTCAGGGCTTTATTCGAAACGGAGTTGGGCAAAAGGAGGCAGGTTAATAACTACAACGTACTGGGACAAAAGGGTATGTGTTTTATTTTCTTAAGCCCCCCTATCAAAATTGTTTATTAAACCAATAATTTGCAGGTCTCACCACTGTCCTTACCCGTCAGCTTTCTTTGGCGCCAGCCTTCAATGAATCGCTGTTAAGCACACAGGAGGTCTATCAGGGAATCCTTAAGCGAGGCTCCGTGGAATTCCTGCTCCACGCAGGACGCTCTCAATCCAGCAGCTTTAAATTGGGCATCTACACCGCCGGTTTGGGTTCGCTGGTTGGCAATGGTGACTCCGGTGATGGAAATGAGAAAATCCCAGCGGATGATGAGATGGACGGCGAGGAAACCGTCACCGCAGGCATGGAGATCAGTGTGCAGGGTGCCCAGTTACGACCCCTGATCTTTTTCAGCGGTCAGACAGAGCTAATGGGTCATGTGTGGGGAGGAAGCGCATCGGATTCGACGCCCGCCTACCAGGCAACCACTTTGGCACAGGATAACGAGCACTACGTAATCTTGGCATCAGGAGCCACACTACATTGGCGAGTGCTGGGTGCCAGGAGTGTGGATCTCAATGGCAAGGTGGGATTTAGCCTGTGGAACCGCAATGCTCAAACAGAGATCCAGCAAAAGTGAGTGGGGATGCTTGATCTTAATAGATGGAATGGCTTTTAATCTCATATTTCCCTCTATATTTAGCACTGGCAGCGCTGTCTTGGGTCATGTGGCCATTGGTTTTACTTATGCTAAATTAGAGCAGGATTTCAGTCTGACCCACGAACCGAAATTAAGTCTGAATGCGGATCTGGACTTTTATAGTGGAATAAAACTATGCATGCAACTTCAGCGACCTGAACAGCTGCTCAAGTGGGTTTATCTAGGATTATTACTTTACAACCTATATTAATTTATTTATTTCTTCCCAGACAAACCCAAGTTCGATCGGTTTTCCTGCAATCTGTGGATCGTCCTTATGCCAAACATGTGCGATCTACTCTCTCCCACAAAACTACGGGCTGCACTTTTGCACTAAATCAGAAGAACAACGAAATGTGCAACGTCATATTTAGCGAATAGTAAAGATTTCTTGAGATTATTGGAGATTGCCTACCCAAAAAGAGATAAACACATGAATACTGTAATGTACTATGTTAAAAACTAAGAGATTAAGACTCGATATAGTTGTAAACTCAAAAGAACAAAGACCATTTAATTTTTAAATGCAAAAAATCTTTGAAATCAACTAAATAAAAACATTTTTAATTTTTTAAAAAATTGCACTCTGATTAATTATTTTATATTTTTTTTCAAATTATCGCGCTTCAAAAAATATTTAATTTTAACTTCTCGATTGCACCAATTCTTGATCTGATTCGGTATTTTATATACTTTATGGTATTTTTAAAGACATGATTAGGTAAAGTTATTTTTTTATGTAAAGTATTTTAGGTTTAAGCCTAGTTCAAAGGCTAACTTTCAGAAATTTCAGCAATTCTTTAAAAGGCTATTAAAATTTCAACGATTCAGCAATTCAATGGCATAGGGAGTACCCCTAATATCAAAAATTATGATTGGTATTTATTGAAATTAAAATTGTATTTAATGGTATTTATTATTAAGATAAATATCATTTCATCGGCGCGGTCACACTGTTCTTGAGTCCGCGGCAAAAAAAAAGTGCACTAGCTCCAAAAGTAAATAATAATATTGCGAAATTATTAATTAAAGCAGAAATTAGATTGGAAAAGGTTAATAAAAGCAGAGATCTAAACATATATAACGGATGATGTGTAAAAAATTAGGCCACTTGCTCTTCTTTTTTTCTTGGGAGCATTAGAAGGCTCGTCACACACGCACACAAATGCCAAATCAAAATCCTAATCCAATTGCCCAAAAAAATGCTCCTCTTTGGCAGATTTAAAAGCGATGCATGTTAAAGTGTTTACATTCAATAAATCGATATTTGTGTCGCCAATTTACGCGTTTTACTAAAGTGCTAAGCAAAGTATTAAAATTAACAACATTTTTTCTTGCTTTTCTTATTAAAACGCACACAAACAAAATTGGAGTGAGAGAGACCAAATGGGAGAATAGAAAAGAGAGTGTGAGAGTTGTTGTTTTTGCGCTATGAGACGTGTTCCGTTTATTTTTTTATTATGCATGTGTGTGTGTGGGAATTTCTGTTGCGTGAAGTTGCATTAAAAAAAACCACGTGTGAAATTTTCTGCAATATTTGCTTTTTATTTGGCAAAATGTTAATATTCTTTATAAGAAAATAAACAGCGAATAGCCGCTGTCAAAGTGCGTTCGTTTTGCTACCAAATTTATAGTCGGCACTCGACGATTTTAACATAAATTAACCGGCAATATTTGCATTCGTTTATGTCATTATCGCACCCATACAGTAACGATAAAGAAAGAGAGTGAGATCCAGATCTTGATTTCTTTCTCTCTTTGACAATTAGCCGATAATAATAATCATACAATTATCCATTTAGTGATAAAAATAAATAAATGAGTTGAATTTCATAAATTAGTTGACTTTTTATTAGCCCAACAAACTCAGACATTTAACATTCATTAAAGAAAGTTCCAGAAATTTTAAACAACTCATTGGCGCAACTATTTTACTGAACTGCATTGTAAGAGGGGCCACCTTTTTCCCCACTCACACTTGCGCATTGGTGCTCTCTCTCCCAGTTCCCCATTCTCCTATTTTCCCACTTTGTATAACGGTATTAAGCGCTCTGCTTATCGTCATCAGGAAAATTGATCATGCTTTAAAGAAATTTCCAAGCTTTTCAATTTCGTAGCTTTTTTAAAGATATATATTTGGAATATAAGTTTAAAACATATATCATGTTTATGTTATTTTGTTTGTTTTTATGGCTCGAGTTGCCACTCTCTCAAACTTCCCCACATCTCTCTGGTTCGACGTCAAACCTAAGACGTCTCACAGTGGGCAAATTCTGTTCATTAAATGTAATGTAATTTTTCACAATTAATTTCATACATTTAAAATGGATCGGTCAGAGGTCTATTTTCTATTTTAAGAAAGCTTATTAATATTTACTTAACGTATTAATATATTTATATTTTAATATGTATTACAAATAAAAAACACAGAATAAGTCTTGCATTGATTTAAAAAACAATGATTCAAAAAGTTTCCTAAAATTTTTAAATTCAATTCTAATTACAAATTTCTATTGGTTTAAACTAAAAATCAAATATATACAACAAATTTATATATTTAGTCCACTGTTCGTCAAACCTTTGAGAGCCAGAAATGTGAGAGAGGTTCGAAGACCAAGTGAACAAAAATCTATTTAAGCAACTCGCCAAACGCGCTCTTTGTTATTGCACGATAATTTTTCGACCGCGCTGTTTGTGTTTTCGGTTCCCGTTGAAATAAATAAAATAATTATTATAAACATAAAATATGGATATAGGGCGGAAGAAATTAAACCGCTTTAAGTACAAGTTATAGACGATTAAGGGATATTTAAATATATTTCGGATAGTACGATTCGCTAGTAACTACCTTACTCCCTCTCGCTCTCTTGCTCGTTTTCTCTGTGTGTGCGTGTGTGTAAAGGCCAAAGAGCGCCTCCCCTGCGCCACTCCCCTCGGGCAACAGAATAAATTGGGTAAAAAAGAATATATATCCTGCTCTTTTAGAATTTACCTGTGAAAGTGAAAACGTGACAACACGATAAAACGAACGAGGCAAGCAAAACAAAAAACGAGTGCACAAAAAAACAACGAAAGGAGGAGGAGAAGGGGAATAAGAACAAGTGCAGCAAATCAGAAAAAAAGAGAGAACGGAAGAAGAACACAGATAAAAGTGAAAATAATCAACGAAGGACGGCAGGAAAAACAAGAACCACATTAGCAGAAATCGACAGGTAAATAACATTGTATCACTCTCTCCTTTTTTATCTCTCTCTTTTTCTTAATACTTTAAATGTTGGCATAAGCTTTCTACTCTTTTTCTCTATGATTCACATATGTATAAATTTTTCTTAAAACTTTTTGCAATTCATGACGACTAAAGTTTCAATCATATAATGAAATTGTATGATTCATTGTGACCATATATTTTATTCTAATTTTTCTTTTCCCTGAAATCCCACTAAATTTTATAAGCCCTAAAGTTCCGTATTTTTTCGTTTTCATGTGCTCTTTCATACGTAACTGATTAGATAGACTTTTTTCGTTCAACCTTGCACAATTTATGACAGTAGCAAACCATGTTTTTCCAGGTTGATAGTGGGTTAAAGAGTTTAAAATCGTAAATGTTATTTATTCAGGTATTACATGTTGTAAGGAAAGAAGTTTTGTTATTTACGAATTTGCAGAGGGATTATGTTTGGTGGATAATTTATTTTTGTTCTTAATTTATCTTTCTGGTGTTTTTGAGTACATTTTTATATATGTATAAAATTTAAAGTAATATTTATTTTCTAATAATTTGTACATTCTTGTCATTTGGGGTAGAAAGGGGATTTTTTATAACTTTATCGACCATAATTTTGTTTCTTGAAAAATAGACTTTTTCTATATTTCCCCGAATCTGAGTTTAGATAAAAAATTTATGTCTTGCTTATTACTTCCTATGAGTCACCGATAGATAAAAAATTATTTTGGGTTTGACAAGTTACAATTGTACAATACCTTTTCTTTAAGCTTTAATTAGAACTTTTTTTTGTAGTCCAAACATTTGTTTAAACGATAAATATCCGACAAAAAATTTCTTAATCTATAACTTCTATGGTCTTGCTTGCGAAATTTCATCGAAAAAGCAATGCAATCAGCCAACATTTGCAAGAAACTCAATTTCTAGGCGAGGTTATCTTATCTATAGGGGAGATTGCCCCAAAAACGAACCATTAAATCGGAAAAATAGAGAAATTTTTTGAAAAGTTAAGTATTTATCTAAATACATTTGACTGGCAATGGACAAATTGTATTGGGGTAAACTGTCTGTCAGCTGGTCTCATCAAATCGTTCGCTCACGTGAGTTGACCGATACAAAACGACTTTTCAAATTTGCCTCACAAAATCATAAAAAAGCAGTCGTGCAATTTACAGATCCGGCAAGCAAGCCAGTCAGAAAAAAATTAAACCAAAGCTGACCGACTGGAATCGGAATCAATCGATTTCAATAAGTAAATGTCGCTTTGCACTGAGTCTCACATCCATCCATTTATCCAATCCACACAGTAAAAAAAATTATAATTAAAAAACACATATTGTTGGTTGCATTATTGTTATTTATTTTATACTTCTTAATCATTTTGCTTAATAATAGTTTCAAATTTAGTATTACAACAACTACATTAATTTATACCTTGTTAAAACTCTTTATTTTGGTTTAGTAATAGAAATTATTAAACATTATAAATATTCAATCGACGTTAGCAAAATATAAATAATTTTTTGCGTGCACCCCATCCATATCGCTTATTCAGCGATATGTGTACGTGCCTAGGTGACGACGAAGTGATTTATTCGGTGATTCACGTCGATTATTATCCCAGTGCAACCGACAAGTTTCTGTCTATAAGCCCCACAATATTGGTTCATTGAACTCTGCCAAAGGGTCTGAACTTTATCGAGAGTAACCAACTAACCCAGAGACTCCACCCTTGGCAACGCATTTCAGGTGGGTAGAAAATCAATATATTTTCGGCCAACTTACCCCTCTAAAATCGCTTGGCTCACCTCTGCTTTATATTTATTTCTGTGGCCGCGGGAATGTTGCACAAACTGCCCGCTCGTTGGCCATAAATCTGGCTGGGTTTGTCATGGGACCTGGTTTATGCTAAATTACCAGAAAATTAATTGTTTCTGCTTGCGTTTGAGTCGACAAAAAATATCCAAACTGTCCTCTTTAGAGGCCATATTTGTTAAGTTAGGTTAGTATTATTACTAAGGGCAGTGCATAAAGTTGGGCTTGGAATTACAAGTAGATAAACAGTTTATTTATAAGTATAAATATACTATAAATAAAAATACAAAATTTGATAAAGTCCCAAACTTATGAATGTTTATTTATACCAGGATAAACCAAACTTAAACTTACGTAACTATAAATATTTTCCGAACTTAAAAGTTCTTTGTAGATCCGTATTTCTCTAACGCCTGTAAAAATATCCTGATCCAATTGTGTATAGTTGATTCTATTTTGCTCGAACTTCCATCTGCTTTTATCCATTTAATCATGTGGTGTCCGAAATGATCACCTGATGTAGATACCCGGGAAACTTCACACATCGGACCGCTCCATTTTATGAGAGGCTCGCGAAATTGAAAGCCCACACGCTCATAAATCCTAATCAAATTTATTAAATCAAGTACTGGCCGCGACAGAACAGAGGAGCAAACAAAAATACGCCCACCAGATGGATTTCCTACACTCGAACATACAAAAAGCGAGACTAAAATAAAATTAAATATAAAATGTTGCACATGAAAGGCAATTCGCGCGATATGAGGGCACTGCTCCATATAAAAATCCATTGAGAGCTGATACATGGCGGGCATATGCTCGAGATACCAAACAATCAATTTGTGCCTGACTTTGGATATGACTTTGTCGTTTGCTCGTTCGGTAATTGTGCGGCATTAATTTGTGCAAGTAATTTCATTGAGCCCGATCTCGTTTGTTGACAACAACTGCACGGGCGAAAATAAAATATTTAACAGATGTCCGAAGAGCTGTGTACCGATATCTGGTGGTTATTGAATAAAAGTTAATAACTTGCCGCAAGGTAAATATTTCTACACTCCTCCCCCATTAATTGAATAACCTTGATTTCGCCTGACATCGTGTTGCCGTGTTGCGAACGTTATCCGTGAAGCCGGATAAGCTGTAAATCAATAACCAGATCTGATTATCAGTTGTTTTTTTGCCTAGTAGGAAGTGTTGTAAATGTAATCTTATCCATCGGTGGGTATGTAACTCAATTATACGTGCCCAAGCGATGGATAAATGCCAAAAATACATAGAAAGGATATTCCTCACAATTAGAAACTAAATATTAATTTTTAAAATTATTATAGCCCTCCATTTATTTTTATATTCAATTATTTTTTTTTATTTTATTATGGCTTTTGTAAGAATTAAAAGCGATCTTTAAGAACTCATCTAAAGTTCCACAAAAAATGTTATTCTATAGAACAATGAATGTTCTTATCCGTTCACTATAGACTAAGTGCAAGCTTACTTTAGATCCCTTGTGAGTTTATTTTGAATTATACTTATCCGCTGGCTTTTCCAGTGGGTGGTCACTTTAGCGGGCTGATAACAACCTTAGTTTATGTCCAGTGTGCATTGTGGCAATTTATCCGCTGTGACAATTTGCATACTTAAACACCAGTAATGCCCCAGAGTCGTTCTCATCGGTCTGGTCGCGTTGTCACTCTTCATTGAGATAAGTTCAATTCACATAAAAGCCATAGTTGGTTGGGGACTTACTCAAAAACATCCGGCCCGAGTCTTTTGTATATGAATTTGCGACGAGACCGAAGGAAAACCAGTAAAAGGCGCGCAAAAAATTTTAAAAGATACATATTTTATTTATTTGTTTTTACTTTTAATCAAATGGATATGTAATGCTGTGCTTATAAAATGTTTATATTTGTTTAAGGGCTGTTTTGTGTTATTTCAATTAAACGATAGCTTTTTAGATAGTGACGTTTACGTTGAGATCTAGAAATTATCAACACAAGTTTAAAAAATTCACGAAATTCCATAATAATGTAAGATTTTTAACAGATCAGATCTTATAATCATCTTTGGGTTTATAAAAAAATTGAGTTCCTTCGTATTATTTTTTCCTGTGCATCCCAACCCCTCGACTTGACAATGGGCCGCGTAGTTTGCTTTATTTCGCCCATTGTGCTTTGCATACAGGCGTTTATTTTATTATACATATTTGAATAAAGTGAATTACGCGCAGGCAGACAAAAAAGTAAAAGAAGAGAAAAAGGTCCCAGACCTCAATGTGTGCTGAACTTCGCCCGCCGACGCTTAATTGAATTGAAAACTGCAAAATTGAAAAACTGAAACCGGACCAAACCAAACCGAATGAAAGCGAAACGATTCCCGAAGAAGCCATCAACGGAATTCAGGTTATGCGATTTGCGAAAAATTCTTGAGCTTCGATTCAATGTCTCCGGGTTCCTTTCTGTTTTGCTTGCATATATAATGTCCGTTGTTTATTTCCCCCTGGCTAATTTGAAGCGCTTTCGATCGTTGAGTGATTCAATTATATGGTTTTTCCCCTGCAGTGCATTTCGACGCCGGGATAATTCAATTTATTTCTGCGTGGGCCTGGGTCGGTGCAGATTTGTTTTAATTAATAATTTGTATTTTGTTTGGCGTGTTGTGGCTGCAAATTGTGATGCTTCCGGAAGTGTCAGTCATGGTCACTAATTATTCAGCATCTGCTTTGCTTTCCCCTGATAAATTAATTTGAATTCCCACAGCACAGCTAGGTAGTATATTGTATGTGCTATTTATGTACCGGGAAAACAATCAACTGTCTTTAATTTGTTGAATTTAAGGATGGATGGAACAGAAGTTTAAAATTATTCGATACTGGTCCACTAATGCCTGAGGTGCGGTTCGTAAGTTAATAATAATAAAAATCCACTTAGGACTAACGTTTTTGACCGCATACTTTGATTAGAAATTTCTTTACTAAAAAAATTGAACTATAGCTACAAGAAAACATTAGCAGACATCTCTTTGAAACCTTTTTAAAGCAAATATGAACTATTATATTGATTTTAGCATTCTTGTGCGAAAATATTGATTATTCCAAAACCTAATTAACCCGAAATTCACATGGAAATGTTATCCGTGCCTATCCGCTACATTATACGAGTACTTTGAAAC